TTCTCTCTTAGACACATACACACAAACACACACTACATCCCTCTATAAAGTAGGTAATAATTTGCCTTTTTGTTGTTGTCTTTAGTCCTTTTTTAAAAAGACTATTTAGCCCTTTTTGTCATGTGGTTCTAGCTGTGTAAATTGGGGAAAACCTTATTTTATTCTTACTTTCTTTTAGAGAAAGAATACATGTTTCTGTATCTATGTCCCTCTATAAATTAGGTAGTAATCTGCCTTTATTGATAGTCTTTTATATTTTTTAGACTTTAGTCCTTTTGTCAGGTGGTTCTGTCTGTTTAAATTTAGGGGGTTGTTTTTATATCCATATGTTGCTCTATATAATAATTAATTTCATGTTTTTGTTTTATTCTTTTTAGAGAAAGGGTGGGTCTCCCTACATTCCTCAATAAACTAGGTAATAATTTGCCTTTTTAAATAAGTCTTTAGTATTTCAAACTCTTTCTTTAAAATAATTCTTTAGTCTTTGAGACTCTTTCTTTAAAAGAAGTCTTTAGTCTTTCAGATTCTCTTGAAAAGAAGGAGTGAAAATTTTATCTCTCTCTTTCTCAAAGCACATTGTCTGTCCTTTTCCTATTTGTTGTGTGTGGTGGGGGATAATTTCTTTTTCTTCTTCTCTCTGTAAACCAAAAACACTTGCTTTTCTTTCTGTGTGTCTGTATTTTAGGGCATGAGGGGGAAGCTCTCATTTTAATCCTCCATCTCTCCAATCTTTAACTCAAGAGCTGGAGTCTTGTCCTATTCTCTCCCACCACCACTCCAAACTCTCAAAAGTAGTTTTGTCTCTCTGTTTAGACTCTCCTTAATCCAAAGTGGTGGTCCTGGTCTGTCTGTCTGCCTCCCTCTTGTGCTGTGACCCCATCCCACAGTGTCTGCTGCCTAATTTTGGTCTCTACTGAAAGCCATCATGTCTGTGGCGGGGCTAAAGAAGCAGTTCTACAAAGCCAGCCAGGTGAGAAAAGAGGATCTGTATGTATATTTTGGAGATGGGTGGGTATAGATCAGAGGTAGGCAACCTAAGGCCTGGGAGCCGGATGCGGCCCCC